AAACTCACAGACTTTCACTCCCAGACAGACAAACTCACACACACACAGGTCAGAACATAGACACGAGGTTCAGTCTGAGGTTGACCTTCAGCTGAAAGGTCGTGACCTCTGAGGTGTCACATGTTCTCTCTGTTGACTCACTGCACACTAATGATTCATCACTCACTCACTGCTCGGTTTATCACACTCACTCACACACACACACACAAGTTTAATTGGCTATCTAAATAGGACCATGCTTAATGTCTAAAAATTGTCCAAATATCTAAAAATAATTCATAACAAACATCATTTTCAGGAACATTGAGTGAGTTTTTCCTTAAAACAAGCTAAATAATCTGAAGTGAGTCTTGGCAGTATGCTTTTACCCACACTCAAAATTGGCACTCTGCTTTTAACTCATCCGAGTAAACACACTCCATTCTGAGTGAGGAGTAAAAGCACACACACACACACACACACACATAAACCCAAAATGAGCAAACACCTGGAGCAGTGGGCAGCTATTGCTTATGAAAATACACTGGATGGCCACTTTATTAGGTACACCTGTCCAACTGCTCACAAATTTGTAATCAGCCAATCACCTGGCAGCAGCTCAGTGCATTTATGCATGTAGACATGATCAGGAGGATCTGCTGCAGCTCAGACTAAGCATCAGAATGGGGAAGAAAGGGGATTTAAGAGACTCTGAACGTGGCATGGTTGTTGCTGCCAGACGGGCTGCTCTGAGTATTTCAGAAACTGCTGTTCTACTGGAATTTTCACGCACAACCATCTCTAGGGTTTACAGAGAATGCTCCGACAAAGAGGAAATCTGCAGTGAGCGGCAGTTCTGTGGGCTGCTGATTGTGGTAACTGAGGACGGGGTGAATTATGTGACTGAGTAGGGAGAAACTGGCCTGGCTGTGTGTCACACAACCAGCGATCGCTCTCCAGAGATTGCTGGTTCTCCCACGAACTTCAGGACTACACTTCCGCATTTCCCAGGACTACATTTTCATACATGCACTGCTCCCAGACACCCATGCTCACACATCTAGCTTGATTGCACTCACCAGCTGCATCTTGTCAGAGACTGATATCACACCATACATAAGCCACTCATGAACCCATCCAGTTTGCCGAGTCTTGTTTGCATTCTGTGACATTACAACGCGTTTCCCTGTCTTGTTTCTCCGTGTTAGACCTTAGCCTTGTTTTCCTTGTTCTCCTGTTTAGCCGCCTGCCTTTTGACCTGTTGCCTGTTTATATTGACTACGATTCTGGACTGCCTGCACATACCTGTTTGTACCTGATTTGACCACTGCTTGCCTGATGCTGAATAAACCTGCATATTGGATCTTACCTCCTGTTGTATCTGTCACCTCCACCCCCGTCGTTACACTGTGACACTAGCCACTATAGGCTCACAACTTTATAATAAAGGGACTAAGCCAAAAAGAAAATGAATGAATGAATGAATGAATGATATTTGAATTTTACATAAAGTGCATGTCATATATGCAACATTCAAAATGATCATTATTAAAATGACAGATATGTTCATATTCGTTCAAAGAGAATAATAGATATAATTGCACACACATACATTCATATTGTCAAGTTCCGGCTTAAAGGCCATGACAAATTAAAGGGAGGACATACACAGCATGGTTTGGTACCAAAAAATATTTATTCAAACATTAAAGAATAATCAAGTGCTCACTTTAGGTCAGCAAAATCAAATATTAACCAAAGCTAAAAAGAAAGAAAACAAAACAAACAGGAGCAAAAGCACGACCTTCTCCAAGCAAACACTATCTATCTATCTATCTATCTATCTATCTATCTATCTATCTATCTATCTATCTATCTATCTATCTATCTATCTATCTATCTATCTATCTATCTATCTATCTATCCATCTATCTATCTATCTATCTATCTATCTATCTATCTATCTATCTATCTATCTATCTATCTATCTATCTATCTATCTATCTATCTATCTATCTATCTATCTATCTATCTATCTATCTATCATCATCTATCTATCTATCTATCTATCTATCTATCTATCTATCTATCTATCTATCTATCTATCTATCTATCTATCTATCTATCTATCTATCTATCAACTGCTTTTATCTATCTATCTATCTATCTATCTATCTATCTATCTATCTATCTATCTATCTATCAACTGTCTGTCTATCCATCCATCCATCCATCCATCCATCCATCCATCCATCCATCCATCCATCCATCCATCCATATATACACACACACACACACACACACACACACACACACACACACGTACGTGTGTGTTTGTGTGTAATTATATGTGTGTATTCATATATGAACACACTTAAAATTATAGCAAATATATATGTACATGTTTGCAATTACAGTGTTTGAAAAAAAACATGTAAGCAGCCTTTTTTGCAATATTTCTAAATATATGTTGCATATATATATTTTAAAATCCAAATATGAACTTGTACCCCATATAAGT